ATTTCCCCATCCATGGTTCATTTTTTAAAAAGGCCATTTATTTGTCTCTAGAATGATGTACAATTGAGCGTTCTTCCTCATTTTGCTTCCGAGAAACATGCAAAACGGGACGGAAAAGATGAAATTTTGCAATAACCTTGCGCCACCCTTGCACAAAACGACGATAATTTTTCTAATTTCATAAACCACAGAAGACTGTATTTTTTCTACCTAATTAACGGCTTCCACAGAGTCTCAAGTGGAAAGTGAGCCTTGCAAGGACTCAAGAAAAAGCACGTTCGCGTTTTTTTAATGGCTCATGGTTTATTCATGGATTTGATTGGTTGACCCAAAAATAACCAAATACCAATCGAACACGACCACCATTCTTTGATATTAAAATGCAAAAATTATTACGCAAAACTCGACACATTTGTGGAATTCTCCAGTTTTATAAAAAAAAATGTAAATTTAAAAAGTGTTTTATGCTAATGGGTTGTTCTAACGTAAAAAATGCGCTTTAATTGAAATGATAATGCGTACTTCTTTATGTTCTACACACTAATTAATCATTAAATTGCGACCGTCTAGACAATGAAAGTACAAATAAAGATTAAAAAACGTCCTTTCTGTTCTTGATGCAAAGTGCGAAATTGTCTAATCATAATGCATTTACAATAATTGTTCTCTCAATGTGATAAACGGGTGTTGAACTTGTCATCAGAAGGTTCGGTTTGCGAATTGCGATGATGAGCGAACATTGAGGTTCACTGGATCATTTCCAAATCGATTTATTGATGCGATTAACAAGCGAGAAAAAATACTGTCGAAGTATTCAGAACAAACACCAGCGACTCAACTTTTAGAGAGTGCAGTTAAAACAGGAAGAAAAAGCAAGTGGCAATTATTAGGCAGATTTAGACAATTCTTAAACCGCTCACTCAACAGACTTTTAAAGCTTTTTTAAAGCTCAAAACTTTATGTTGATAGCAACATGCTCGAAAAAAATCGATTTGCATATGAATACACGGTGTTTGAATAATGCGTCAGGAAATTTTTAAGGGTGATTCTACACACTAAAATAATAATCGCAAGGCATGCAGCAAAAATTTGAAATATGAATATTTTCCGAGTTTTCGTTTTATTTTCGACCGATTTTGCACCTTTCTTCGCGCATCAAATTGAAAATCGGTACAGAGCTTCAGTTAGTGATCTGTAACTTTCTGATAAAAAAATGTTTCTCCACTTTGCCACTAGATGGTACTTTACCTGAAATCGACACTTCACTTCATTTTCAGCATAACGTTTTTGTCACGCCAAATATGGTAAGAGTAAACACTAGATTTTAAAAATTTCCTAACACTAGACAAAAAGTGCTCTACTTTTGAAAATATCGCTCCAAAGATTGTTAACCTTGAAGAAATGCCAAAACATCAATCAATTTTGATATGTGACACTAACGTCACGAGACTATGACATTGATACATTCGGGTGTTCACACAATGACATTTGACATGACATTGTATGTCACGACATTAATGTCGTCGTGTGAACGGGGTTTTAATTGCAATCGCTGCAAATCAAGTCATTTGGTTCTAAAGTTTGCAAAATTGGACAATTTATAGTAATTATTATATTTTATTTATAGTATATATTGCAACGTTATTGGTTTTAAAGCAAAATAATTTAGTCTAAATTGAACAGTGATCACCCTTAAAAATTTCCTAACGGATTATCCGAACGAACACGACACAAATACAATACATACAAATTTTAAATTCATTAACTTAAACTTAAATAATTTAATTTTACTGCTGCTATGACATTAATTAATCGACTAAATTTATTCAACTTATAGTTGCCACATTTTTCGGTCAACTGACGGTCAAAAGAAGCTTTTTTCGTGTGCAGCTGGAAAAGTTTCTATCTGGTATCAACATCAAATGTCCGATGTTTTATCGATGTCCAAAATTTCCAACATCGATGGTAAAAATATCGAACATCGAACGAATAAATTATGTTTTTCTCCCATCCCTACCGGGGGATAAAGAATACGACTACGGCATTAAATAAGACGGATTCGGTATAGTTTAACAAAAAAAAATACCGCCGATCAATTTTATAAGCGATTTGGGGCGACTTTGATAGAGATTCTAGAAACGTTCTTAGGCTCGGTTCCACCACCTACGATTAAAACTGAATACTTGTCATTTGAAGAACGTACCTCTAAGAAAATAACTGGCGAATTATCTGCCATCTTGTTCTTCTATGATTTCTCTAGTGTGGAGCAGGAAAAGTCGCTGCATTCAATCACAAAATCAAGTTTTATTAATAATTTATAATTAAATATAAAATACGAAGAAATCAGGACTGAAAAATTTGTGGTGCAGCGCAAGGCAATTTAATCATTGCTGATACGGTTAATTAAACTATTGTGATTGATATGTGATACGAGTTAATCCCGGATTTATCGACAGTTGGTAGAACCAGGCCTTAGTGCTGCCTACCTTTGCAAACTGCTGTTAATTTTCAAGTCCGGTGTTGTAGTTTTCAGCAGATTCACTTTCTGTTTTTTTTTATTTTGAACGCCCTTTATGCATTGATCAAACCAATCAAATTGCACAAACTGGAATCCTTGATGAGAGACACAAAAGACGTTTCTGTACAAGAAGGTCGTCGCGTGCGTTTAGCCTCAAAAGGTGATGCAATTATGGATTAAATTCTTCTCGTGCGTAATTTACTCCAGTTGGCTGTTTCAATTTCTAAAAGTACCGTCTTTGTATCGCAAAGGCCATGAAACAGTGACGAATAAAATAACTGAATGTTGCTGCAGATAACAAAGAAGCAACATTTATGGGGTTTTCTCAAAACCTACGTTGGTTATTTGCTAATTTTAGCTGACTAACTTTTTGAAATATCCACACTTGCGACACGTTGAGCATTCTGCATAGAACAGCTGTTGATTTGATGGCTTGTTTTGTTTGTTTTCAGAAAAAAAGCACCTTTTGAATAACATAAATGGCGACTTTCACAGCGCCGAGCTTACAGCAATTATGGGCCCATCCGGAGCAGGAAAATCGACTCTTATGGATATTTTAGCTGGATATATGTAAGTTTTTTGAGCACCGGTTCTTCTTTGCTCCGCAGGAAATTATATTTCACAAAGTCAGTCACCTAAAAGCGATTTGGTGTGTGAAAAATATGGATTATGCCCCGCCATCCTCAATCGTGGCCATAATCTAAATAATAACGATAATAAACTAAAGCGATAAAATAAACGGCTGGTAATTGCTGATGTGGATTTGCTGATATTCACTCTCTGGTAGTAGTCGATTATTACTCAAAAATTCGATTTTATCGTGTAGTAAATTTTGCTTAATGTATGTAGAATTGACAAAAATTAGCGAAAATTGCAGGCTTGAGGGGACTTTGCTCTAATGAACACACTGGAAAATGGCAATTTTTAGTTATTCCACTTGATTGTGGAAGTTTCGCTGTTTTAATGCAAGTTGGGACATAAAAATTATCAAGAGCCCATTATCTTATCATTAAGGATTTAACGTCAATGTTGTATCGTTTCAGGTGTTTTTCCCCTACAATGTAGCAAAAACTGATATAATCTAAAAATTGCGTATATACATTTATTGATTTACTGCCATTTTTATCGTATATCCCAAATCAGTATTCCATAAGCTTAGAATTATGGGCCACCCTTAATAAAACTGCGATTTTCCTGCATTTGTCGCTTAACTTTCGGGCTCTTAATCTTGGATTATAGATTAGCCCTTTCGCTTTGCTGTACCTGTACTTAACTTTCATTGCGTCGACTTAAATACAAGTTTTTTACAAACTTCTTTTTGGGTATTTTGCCTCAAAAATTTTTGTCTTGAAAAAAGACGGAATTTCCTCTTGTGAATTAGTATATCGAGAAAAGGAATTTGGTGATTTTGTTCTTTTTCCATAGTGAATTTAATTGTTGGTTCTTTATTATTCAGATAAGATAAAAAAAAACGAATCCGCCTCAACAATATAGAACTTATCTACAACTTAAATACAATTGATGAAAGTCGAATATACAAAGAACAGAAAAATGCCCGATAAAAGCATCGAGGAAACAAACTTGGGTGCCATCAAGCATCGAACCCGAGTTGAAAAGGAAAATGTCGTGTAAAACAAAGCCGAGTACCGAAGTGACTAAGAGCGCTTTGACCTTTAAACGAACGTGTACCAGTTAATAATAATAACATTTAATTTATTATTAACAATTATCGTGCGAAAACGGAGTTAATTCCCATGGCTGAGTGTATGCGATTTCAATCAATCGATACATTTGGGTGATTTAAATACCACTAATGATTTGGGTCAGAAAATTAACCAGCTTAATGGTCGGCTTCCAGGTCTCAGTACAGATGCACTGAAACAGACAAAGACTAGTCGACTGTTAAGTGCAGATGTACGCGATTGTTGCTGAAATGTTCTGCAACAATTGCAAGTTCAATGCAAACCGGCAATTACTATTGGTGGCGCTCGTTTGGGGCTACTTTGTTGCCGGAACATTTCATATTAATTGCTTTAATTAGATGTACATAAGTGTTTTTTTAATGTTTTTCATTCATGCAACTATGTTGCAAGCTACAGGTAGCAAGCAGGTACACTGTGTGCAAACTATTTAAAGAGAGATTAGTCGGATTTCAATGATTTATTCACTTTCTTTGTTTTAATGTATAAAAATGTACGCCTTATATATAGCTGGCTTTGTTTCTTGATGTGCTGCATCTCCGTTGGTTAATTTTTTCGGTCTCTTTGTTTCATTCGTTTTGCATGCAAAATCCAAGGTTGCGCGTGGTTTAATTTGCCCTATTTATCAGGTGGACGTGTGCATTCAAACAAATTAATTATTTTTTTTAATTGAACCTAAAAGTGCCATTTTTCGATCAGAAGCGATGATCATAAAGAATCACTTTTCTTTACTGCTCATTTGTTTTATTTTTGTTTTACGCACGTGTGCGCAAAAGTAAATGAGACAAATTGAACGTGTCACTGTCATAAAATGTCGTTTTTCGAACGACGACGGCGTTTGACACCCGAGACGAAGTCGAGGGTGTCAATCCGTCAGGAGTTCGAAAAACAAATTTTCGCCCTCGTATCGAACACTATTTTTTATTCGAATGGAAGATTACACGAATAATAAAATGCATCGATTTCATATTTAAAATTTTGTGGCAATGTCATTTTTTGAAATGTCATGTTTTGAAGTTTGTAATTAAGTTTAAGTACTTTTTCAACTTGAAACACCTGTGGTCTTGGGATGGTGTATGCATGTTGCATACTCTGCATGACATTTGCGCTTCTTCAAAAAAAGATCGTGTTTTACGTGTGACAACATCGCAAAAGTAGATAAGTAGGGCATTAAAACGATTATGAGACTGAACTTGTAACAAAGATATAATTTACAAATTGTAAGTAAACTTGAAAATAGGATCAATAGTTGTTGATAAACCTACGTAATTCCTTAAAAA